GCATGTGCCTAAGAAGGGGGCAGTGTTGCGAGCCGGTGTGGACTCGACCTAACCTCACAATATGGCCCGCCCTCGGATGACCTTAACATCGCATAGACACCGCAATGATTCATTCGTTCGAGAAGAATCGAGACCCACTAGAATGGACTCGTACATACGAGAACATTCGAAAACCTTCTCTATGCGCCTAACGATCTTTGGACTATTCTAGATTTCTTTTTCCTGTCGGTATAAAAGCCGGCGGCAGTGGCCTAGAGAGGGCAGTTATAAATATACAGTTGACGCGCTAAAATTAAAAATAAATTCTTAGTTATAAATCGTTTGTAAATAGTTCTATAAGTCTTTTATCGTTATTATTTTTGTTAATTAGTGTTAAATAAATAGTGTTTAAATAAATTGTGACTTTCTATCCACACGGAACCGACGAAAAACGTAACAGTAGTTACTAACTGTCACTAGAAAATTGCCATGGAGATACCAGCCATCTTGGTTGCAATTTTATTTAAAATCGCTTTTTATTAAAAATCTGAGCTAGATAATAATAATAATATCATAATAATACTACTTTATTTTACATGAATATTATTTACAACAAATGTAATTTACAAATAAATAATAATAATCACAAAGAAACATGCAAAAAAGGAACTGAAGACAATTAAAATTGGTTTAAATTCAGTTCCTGTCAGATCACAATATCAATACAGGGTGGCCAGCAGTTTTTCAGAAAATTCAAAAACACGTCAATTTTGTTTGTGAGGGGACAACTTTTGCCCCAAAAATTACTGCAAAACCTTCAACCCTCTAAGCGGGGGTGTCATCCCCCAATTTTTTTCAAATGGAAAGGGTGGTCAAGAGGTACCGCAATGAAAAGGGTTTTCTATTCTCTATACTTTCCTGCTTCATTTTTGAAGATCGTTCGAGTCGTTGGGAAAATATGAAGGATTGAAATTTGAAAAGTTTTTTAAACATTTATCAGAGTAAATGATAAGGATAAATTCCTTCGACCAATTTGCTGTTTTTTCTTATTATTTCTAGATGTTTGCAATCGGGTTGCGCAGATATTCAATGAACGCCATCCTGACAAACACCTTTATGGCAAAATTGTTCGCCAGTTAGTAGCAAAATTTCGCGAAACTGGTTCCGTTATGAATAAAAAGAGGCAGAGGGAAAATCCTGTTGTAAATGAAGCTATGGAGGTATTCGTATTGGGCCAAGTTGCCATAGACAGTATTTTGAGTACAAGAAAATTAGCCAACGAGACCGGCGGGCATCGTACAAGTTTCCAAAGGATATTAAAAAAACACAAGTTCCACCCGTACAAAATTCAGTTGGTACAAGAACTCAACGAAGACGATTTTGATCGTTGCTTGCAATTTTGTGAAACTATGAGTGAACGAGTGGCGAATGATAATAATTTCCTATTTAATGTGTGTTTTTCGGATGAGTGTACTTTTTTTTTGAACGGTGTAGTTAATCGGCACAACTGTCGGTACTGGGCTGAGGACAACCCCAGGGTTTTTCACGAGGTGCACACACAAAACCCTCAGAAATTGAACGTGTGGGCTGGTATTTTTGGAAATTCTATTGTAGGTCAGTTTAACGATATTGAGGAGAACTTCAACGTAAAAGTCACAGAACAGCTATCTAGCAACTACCGCACCTGATCGTTCAACTTTGTAGCAAGTGAAAAAATGCGTAAACATCTAGAAATAATAAGAAAAAACAGCAAATTGGTCGAATTTATCCTTAATTATCATTTACTCTGATAAATGCTTAAATAAACTTTTCAAATTTCAATCCTTCATATTTTCTCAATGACTCAGCCGATTTTCAAAAACGAAGCGGAGAAATATAGGGAATAGAAAGCTCTTTTCATTGCGGCGCCACTTGACCCCCCTTTCCATTTGAAAAAAGTTGGGGGATGACACCCCCGCTTAGAGGGTTGAATATTTTGCAATCATTTTTGGGGCAAAAGTTGTCCCCCTCACAAACAAAATTGACGTGTTTTTGGATTTTTTGAAAAAATAAATACCCTGGCCGTTATGCCTTGCGGAACGTTTTCGATGGGCCACCCTGTATAGTATAAATGTGTGTTATGTAGCTAAATTATTTTACAGTAACTTCTCTACAAATATAAGTAAATTATATAGTAATCCTATGACTAAGAAAATTTAGTATGAAATTCAAAGAAATAAACACAAAGAAAAGTATTTTAAACTAAAATAATTCTTAGATAAAAAAAACTAAGAGGGAAGAGAACTATCCAGAAAATGTTTTTTAAGTTTATTTTTAAGTGCAGCTCTCTGAAGATTTATCATTTCTGCTGCTAAACAGTTGTAGAGCTTGGAAATATTAAATGAGAAACATCTAGTGAACAATGCAGTTTTGTGACGTGGTGGAGTAATAAATCCCTTAAATCTAAGGTTTAAGTTGTGCACATCTGTTCTGAATTTTATTTTATTCACCAAGTATGGAGGACACATCTTGGAAATAACTCCATGAAATAAAACCAATGAATGCATCTTACGTCTGTTTTCCATATTCAACCACTTAGCTTCTTTTAACTTATGCGAAATGGGATCATATTTTCTTATACCATAAATAAAACGTAGGCAGCTTTTTTGAAGCTTCTCGATTCTGTTAATGTCAACTTTTTCCAGACATGGTCTATATATAACATCACAGTAGTTGAAATGGGATAAGACAAGTACTTGAGAGAGATGTAAGACCTTTTGATACATTGAGAAACATGTTCCTTAAAGCGAAGATTATAATCTATAATTAATCCCAAATTCTTGGCAGATTTAGTAAATTGTAATTTTGGTTCAGCTAAACTTATTGGCATTACGTTAGATAGAAAATCCCGGTGTTTACCAAATATCATAACAGATGATTTATCCTGGATTTATTGCCAGACCGTGATGATTTGAAAGTTGTGCTAATTTATTTAAATCGTCATTTATTAACGTTTGAGCTAATGTCCAGTCATCGAAATTAAACGAAAAGAAAAGTTGTGTATCGTCTGCGTAGCAGTGTGCATTAACATTATCTAGGTATAGGAAACCCTAATATAGTTTGAAAGAGCATTTGAATCTGCTTCGATTTATTTTAAAAAAATACAGGGTGTTGCATTTGAAATAGATAAGCAACTTTTGATAACTCTGTATAAATTTAAGGAAGCAATACCATTTTTCAGTAAAGTTTATTTTCTCTACCTTTAAACTCAGCGTAAGAATTAATTCTGAAAAGTAATGTACAGGGTGTTAACCCTTAACTGGTCCTGTAATAGATATGTATCATAAACGGTCCGGCGTAGTCTGTAGGACTACGCCTTCTAAAAAGTTTAAAAACACACAAAAACTAAAAAATAACAAATTTTTATTTCATTATATATTATATTATGTATTATTGAACTAATCTAGACAAAAATGGGCTCAATTAATCTTAACTTTAAGAAAATTAACTTAAATATTAAGATTAAAATAAAATAACATACATATAAATTTGAAAAAAAATCAATTAGGTTTTTACTAAGCTCTAAAAAATAAAACCATATTACTAACAGTCATTACAATATAGAAATAAGTTTTTAATACTATATATATAAAAAAAATAAGTTATAAAACTGAAGTTAAGAAAAAGTTTTTAGTTACACCATGAGGCAAAGTTCAGTGTTTTCCTGAACATGTTTTACACAATGGATTCGTACATTCTAGCCATTAAAAATAATTAACTAGGACATAACATTGTCTTTAACTAGGATAAGAACTCTATGAGATAAGAATATCTCCGTGAGCATGTTCTGGTTGTACAGGAATTGGAAGTATTCTACCAATTGTAAAGTGTATTTCTCGTGGAATATTTGACATTGTCAAACGCATTTGTCTGGCAGATTGTCATATTGTCACTGTCACAGTCCTCATCATATCATTTTAATAGAGTTTCTTCATAACTAGAGTCTCCTAAACGCACTCTTTTCGAAGGCCTGGCGATATTTTACAAAAGTTTGTCACACACAAAATCTTACACAAACGGTCCGGCGTCGTCTGAGAGACTACGGTTTAAGTAACTTCTGCCAGAACTTTTAAAAAACTAATCCAATTTGGGCATAAATATGGCTATCTGTTGTTGACCGTGAGGGGGAGAATTAGCTGGAACGCCAATCCTGTAGGCGGTCCCAGTAACTAATGAGAATGAGTTAATTATTTGGCGTAGTCTGTCAGACGACGCCGGACCCGTTAAGGGTTAATAATCTATTCTATTGTAGTATGCAAATTCAAATATCTTTAAATATCTCAAAAAACCAAAGATTTTAAACATATTTAAAAGTTATAATAAATGCCTTTTTTGGGCCCAAAAATCCAAAAATGAAATAAAATACCGGGTGTTCCATAAAAAATATAACTTTGGTATGGATCTTAGTTCTGAAACACCCTGTATATTTCAAAATAATTTTAAATTGTGCACATTTTCTCCCCACATATACCAATAAAATATTTGGTTGCTACATCTTTTCGTTTTCGTATAATCAACCGAGGCAAATGAGGTGCGCCACCCTGTATATGTACTTGTTCCAAAAGTATCTTATTAATGTTTAAATTACCACTCTGTGCCACTCAGTATTATTATTAATCGCTCCTTTAATAAATGTTAATTCTTCCTTCCGAGTACGAAAATTTCGAGAGTGTCGTAACGTAAACCATCCACGTTTGTTTTTATTTACCAAACTGATTCTAGTCCTTAACATCGACCTTCTCCAAACCAATTCCATTTCCTCATCTCGGAGCTAATTAGCACGTCGCAAGTGAAATTTCGGCAAACAAAGCCAAGATTCTTGTGTAACTAACCAATACACAGTTATGTTGTCGCGGGAACGAAAAGCAAATATTTTACTTTTGATTTCACTGGGTCAATTTGGGGACCGATGGGTGGGCCAGTGCGTACCTAAAAACCGCCGTATTTTACATACAATACATCAGAGTCCGGTATTGTTACCAGATCATATATGTGTTTTGAGTGGGGGTACAGAGTTGAAAACACATTAATATTAATAGGTGATAAATCCAGATAAAAGTAAGAGAGTATTGTCAAAGAAGTCAAAAGGTTTCAGATAACTGAAAGAACATCATTCGTTTACGGTTCAGTTCAAGAAAAAGTGCTTCGTTTAACACCATGACCAAGTTTTCGTATTTTAGTTTTCCTATTGTGTTAGTTCTTGTTTATACAGCATCAGGGGTATGGTTTTTGATCTTTTAATTCAGTGAAATGCCTGTAATGAACTTTGTTTTTTTTTAGAATCCATTATTAGAAAATAATGTAGACTCCAACGTCATTGCATCTGTAAGTTTAAATAAAAAAAAAATCTTATTTATTTCAGTTTAATTAGTTTATAATTTTCAGAATTCTGGTTTTGCGGATGAATTGAATAAATGTGTCTATAAATCGGATGTTACCGAAATTGCGGGATGTGCTACAGAAAGAATTGTAAGGTCTTTAGACAAGCTTTCTGCTCAACAGAACTTGGAGATTTTACCTGGTGTTGCATTATTGGGGTAAGTTTTTAAATTTTGTTTTATGTTAATGTATACTCACTGGGTAAAATTAATTATCGAATATTTTTTTTTATTTTCCATATTTTATACTAATTTAGTACTTTAATTTTTTTGCGAAAAAAAAAATAATATAGTAGACGTGTCCCTGGGATCAAAATATACTACCCCTAAAATATTTGCACTTATTTAAGACTTACCCTGTATAATCTACAAATATATAAAAATATCAGTCAGATTTTGGTAACTTACATTTACGAGTTCTTGGATCCGAGTTTTGTTACGACTTGGATTGTTCCTGTTTACACTCTATACTAGTTAGTTCTCAGATTTCATCCTTTTAAAATGGCGGCCTCTAAAAAAAAGCGAGCGGCAATAGCTTTAATAATATTAATGCTGTTAAAAAAGAATCAATTTAATACGAATAAAACTAGTAGGTTTACAAGTATTTAGGTAAAACCACATCTGCAAGTGCGAAACTCATTTGACATTGAAAATAATTTATTAAAAGACTTATTAACACGAGATGGAAAAGCCTTTAAAAACTTCATGCGAATGGACTATGTTGAACGTTTATTATTTATTTTTTTCTTCACTTCTTCTATACTAATATTCATTATATCGGCTATTGTGTCATAGGCATTTCTTTTATTAATATCACGATACTCTTTACATCTTCGATCGATAAATGTCAAAAATTGTTCGATCTGTTCAGTGGAAAATCTAGTTTCGGCCATCTTTTTTTTCCGTAAATAAGCTTGCGAGTAACCAACAAGTCGGTTTGTTCCCTACTTCAATAATACTAGTACGGATCCGCGTGAGAAATGTATCCAAGTAGATGTTTACAATTCCGAGTTTGCGTCAAAGTAGCAAAACTCGGATCCGGGAACTCGTAAATGTAAATTCAGCTTTACTCACGAGATATCCGATCTCATCCGGCCTCGAATCGGCGTGAATGAGCAGTGTGTGTCAATATATTTAACACTTTTGCCTTTTTTTTTGGACAACAGCACGATACAGAGTTGCGAACCGGTCACCCGTCCATCCACTAGTATCCCTTACGTCGCTTAACTTCAGATAAAAACAAGAAATTTGGTATGTTAATATACATATAACATAAATTAGGATTGATTGACGTATTCAATTGTTTTCAGTCACTTCCTGTCTCACCGGGAATGACTACAACTTTTAATTTTTAAATGGCATTTTTGGTGTTTTTTTTACTTTATTGGATAGAAAATAACATCCTGAATAGAATGACATATCATAAATATGTCCAGTTTTGATATTTTCGCTTAGAAAATGGTATTTTATATTTCAATGCCACGGCTGCGTTAAAAACACTAATTTTTAATAAAGGAGCCTGGGAAAAATAAATTTGATCGTTTAATGTTTATAGTGTCTTGTCCTTGCCGGTTAAAAGATGCCCAAATCGTATTTTTAATCATATCTATTTTTTTTTCAAATGGAACGAGGGTGGCTCATTAGAATATCTGGAAAAAAAATTAAGAATTATTTGGTACCACACACATTGTATTTCGAGTCAATTTGTCGTTATGAACCATACGTTACAATTTCAAATAACCATATGCGAAAATGTCAAAAGTTGACATATGATATGTCATTCTATGCAGAGAGTAATTTCCTATCGAATAAGGTAAAAAAATTGGCGCCGGGAGGCTCGTATAGCCGCCCATATCTACTAAAATATGTTAATATCTCGAAAACTGCGACTTTGACTGATTTTGATGTTAATACAAATTTTGTTGCAAATATTACTCCTAATCTTAATTTGAAAACCGCGTTTCGCTAGGTACTGTAATTTTAGAGTTACGATTTTTTTAAATTTTTAACCCTCTCTCCTACCCCCTTACCAACCCCCCACCCCCGCCAAAAACTAATGGCCAGATTCTCGGGTGCCACAGTACTTTTGTGCCAAATTTGGTTAAAATCGGTTCAGCGGTTTTTGAGTTATCGTGTTACAGACGTCAGATGGACAGACGGACAGACAGACACCATGATACAAAGAATACAAGATATGATAATGCGCAGGTTGGTCACTACGTCACAGGTGATAAACGGCACCATTGGTCGGCAAGCATCGCGCGCCAATTTCAAATTGTCAAACAGATGACACAATAAATGTGAAAATAATTTTTCAAATATCAAGCTCGATGATTTGACACAACTTTTGGGGTTATGTCCTAATCCTTTCTTATTTTAGGTCTTTTTTTATTAGTGGCAATTGAACAATATGGATATTTTTTTTATGGCGTATGACGTCACAGGTGGTATGCGCAAACTTAACGAAATTGGAACTGCTATCGATCATACCTTGTTTTCTTTGTACCATGGACAGACACCATGAAAATATTTTGTATTTAGGTCATTTATGATCCAAACAACTCATTTTGAGTGGAATTAAAAAAACTTTTTTTTGCCGATCTTAATAGTGATTTTTTGCCGATCTTAATTACCTATTGGTATGGTCGGCCAAAAATACCGAGGGTGCTATAGAAAAATCAAAAGTTGTAGTAATTTCCGGTGAAACAGGAAGTAACCGAAACAATTAAATACGTTAATCAATCCTAATTATATCATATACTGACATACCTAATCTCGTTTTTTTAGTTGAAAAATAAAAATAAATTATAGGGGTAAGACGTTTGAGGCGCACCCGGTATATTAAATACATTAGATAATATATAAAGATCTTTTAATCTACCTATTAAAACAGAATACCTATCATTTTTTGAATTAAATATTTGTTTGTAATATGTGTTCAACCGACAAATAAAAATACATTGAAATGTTTTATTTGATATATGTCAATGATATTTTAGTGATGGCACATCAAACTTCCGAGCAGGAAAAGAACTGAACCAAGAACTTGAAGAAGCCAAACAAGACGAATCTTCTATGCTTCATTTAATCGGCAAGCATGTCGGTAGATTTTTTGCCGGAAGAACCTTAAAAGTAAAGCTTCCTGATACTGAAACCATCAGCAGAGCTTTAGTAGAAGGTAAGTAATATCTTTTTAGATAAATATCGCAAAGATACTATATAATTCTTTGCCTTTTAGGTCGCAAGAAGATGAACAAGAACAAAAACATGATGGGTATGGGTGCAATGGGCATTGGAGCTGCTCTCGCTGCTTTAGCTCCTTTATTCTTAGGAAAGATCGCCTTGATTACCGCCAAAGCTTTAATAGTAGGGAAGATCGCTTTGGTACTTTCTGCAATTCTTCTGGTCCAGATGTTTACAGGCAACAAAGGCAACGTAAGTCATTTGGTTTGATTTTATAGACGTTAGAAACCAGTCAAAGCCAATCAGACTATTTGTGGACTGGTTGCATATTGATATTCATGCAAATGATTGGCTCTGATTGTTGTTTGTAACTCTTCTAAGAATAAGTCGAATACAATTACTATTGAGGTATATACATATTCTTATTTCTGACACAACTATCACAACTATATTTATATATTTTATTTCTTTGTCGGAATTTCTGTTAGAGCATTTGTTTTTACCTCAGAAAAATCACAAAACAAACACAAAAAATTGGTCAAGTGCGAGTCGGACTCGCGCACGAAGGGTTCCGTACCATTCATTATCTATACAATATTAGAAACTATATTATTATAAACTTTTTTTCCGATTTAGCTGAAATTTTGAATACGCGTATAAGTAATTAAAAAAAATGAAGAAACACATTACTAAAAATTGTATTAATGAATAATAAATATGTAAAAATACGTGAAAATTACAAAAAAAGCATTAAAAAGAGTCGCCTTGACTAGGTTTCGAACCTGCCTTACTACGGCTCTAACGTCATAGCAGCGTAAAGTCCTAACGCTTTAACCATCGCGGCCACCGAGGACTTGAAAGATTCTATTTAAAATTCTTACTTAAAAGTTAATGTTTAGTGAAAGTACTTTTTTATTTATGAACATATATTTAATTCTGTTTTTAGTATTTGTTCTTATAGCGGCAACATAGATACATTATCTGTGAAAATTTCAACTGTCTAGCTATAACGGTTCATAAGATAGACCTTTGTGACAGACGGACGGATAGCGAAGTCTTAGTAATAGTGTTCGCGTTTTTACCCTTTGGGTACGGAACCCTAAAAACAAAGTATATTGTAGTTGATGTGTGAAGTGTTCTTTTATAATTATTCTAAAGACACAAACCTAGATATTTTAGGCTAGAAAAGCTGCAATAATTTGTTATAATATTAGAAATTATATAAAGAAATCAATAGTTACTTAGGCACTTTTCTCTTATGTCTACATTTCTCTGTCTGTCCCTCAATGTGTATCCAGTTATCATTCTTAAGGTCTTCATTTCAGTAGTTCGTAGGATTCTCTTTGTTACTGATGTTTCGGCTCTGGTTTCCGCACCATATGTCATCACTGGTCGTATGCAGGTTTTGTATATTCTTGACTTACATTCTGTACTCAAATGTTTGTTTTTCCATATGGGATATTTAAGATGTCCTGATATTGCGGCAGCTTTATTGGCTTGTTTCCTTACTTCTTCTTCCAGGAATCCTGAGCTTGTAATTTTGCATCCGAGGTATTCGAATGACATCTGATCAATAGTTTTGTTTTTTATTACCAATTTGCACCGTAGAGGCTTCTTTGTAATGGTCATGCATTTGGTCTTATTTGTGGAAATTTGCATGTTAAGTTTTTCTGCCTGTCTGTTAAAAGCTTGTAGCATTCTTTGGAGGTCGTCCTCTGACTCTGCAATAAGTACTGCGTCATCGGCATAGCATAATATGTTTACTTTATGCATTCCCATTCGATATCCTAATCCAGTATTCTTGACGGTTTTTATTACTTGATCCATGATTGTGTTGAATAACAGAGGGCTGAGACTGTCGCCTTGGCGAATACCAGTTGTAGTTCGAAGATGCTGCGTTAAGGTAAAGTTTGATCTTATTTGGGTTGTTGTGTGGGTGTTTAAGTCTTTGATAAGTTCTGTGAGTTCTTTTGAGACATTACTGCTTTCCAAGATGGTGATGATGTCTTTTAGTTGGACTCTATCAAAGGCCTTTCTTAAATCTATAAAACATAGATAGGCTGGAGAGTTATATTCTAAGGATTTTTCAACTAGTTGCCTGAGTATGAATAGTGCATCGGTAGTTGATCGGTTTCTTCGGAATCCTTGTTGTTCCTCGCTTATTGGCACTATTGAGGAGATTTTGTCCGCAATGATCTTAGTCAGAAGTTTTAGCGAGGTGCTCAGTAATGTTATTCCTCTATAGTTTGCTGGGTCTGTTTTATCTCCCTTTTTAAAAATGGGTATTGTTATACTTTGTTTCCATTCTTCTGGTATTTTCTTATGTTGTAATATAATGTTAAACAGTTTTGTGTATTCCTCTATGATAGCCGTGCCTGCGTTTTTTATTAGCTCGTTTGGTATTTTATCTTGATTAGGAGATTTTCTATTTTTAAGTTTCCTTATTGTCTCTTCTACTTGCTTGTAAGTGATTTGCGCATGATCTTCTGTATTATCTCTTTGGCTTGTCTCTTGTGCTTCCATTAGTTCATCTGTTTCTGCGTATAAGTATCTGAAATATTTTTCCCACGTATTTTCTGCAATTGTTCTTAGTTGTATTGTTTCATTTGTTTCTCGTTTCAAACCCCTCAACATCTTCCAAATACGTTTTTGTGTTCCGTACATATCCGCCTCCATTTCGCTACTAAATCGCTGCCAATATTCTTCTTTAATTTCTCGTACTCTATTATTAGTCTTGTTCCTTATTTCGTTATAGATATTTCGGTTCTCCGGTGTATATTTGAATCCGTTTGCCTAATATGTAAGCATGTATCAGCTTCTCAAGAGAGGCTATCTCAGACTTATCCACTCAGGAAAGCGGAGCAAGCTCTTTATCTACCTACCCCACGCTCAGAGTTAGTTAAAAGTTCAATATTATACAACTCGAAAAAAATGCACAATCACCTGCCATTTGAAATCAAATCCATAACATCATTTTCTTCATTTCGCAAAGCATTGAAATCTGAAATCTATCTTACTATAAAAGGCTTTCTACGCCGTAAATGACTTATATTTTGATAATCAAATTTTATCTTGTAAACACTGGTCTAATATTTGCTATTACTATATTTACTATAAATTTACTAAATATTTTTGACTCTTATTTTTATTTTTTTTTTATTCTTTCCCATTGTAAACATTTATAAATGTTTATTTTAAACAATAATACTGGCAATGTAATTTGTATACTTGTTTTGTATTCTCTTTTGTTTGTTTCCTTTACTTTTGTTTGCATACTTGTTTTCTATTCTCTTTTGTTTGTTTACTTTACCTTTGTCTACAAATTGTAAAATTTTTTGACAAAGGCGTTTAATTATTTAAAATTATTTAAAGGCATTTATTTATTTATTTATTATACTTAAGATTTTACAATTATTCACAATATGTAAAAAATACAGTTTAAATTAACAGAATATCCTAATATGTAGCAATAGCTTGCGGTAGGCACAATCACATAATTCACAACTTTTCATTTCTATCTACAGTTTCTCTTGACGGTGGATAAACATAGACCAAAATGATATTACTCACAAATTTTCAATTATTATAATTACATGAAAAAATTAAAGGTTTGTTAATTTCCTCCACTAATTGAAAATTACTACCCCTAATTTTGACAATCTGAATGCTTACATTGAAATTAGAGGGATAAACTTCTACGCTAATTGAAACCACTAATTTATTCCACTAATTTTGAGATTTTGAATGATGCTAAATTGTAACACAATGTAACTTTAGTTGTTTTATTCTTTCATCGTATGACATTTTTACATCAGATTGCCTGCGACTAGTTTAAGACAGCTCTAAAAAGAAATATATATAAATAATTATTTTGTGTCTTGTTTATATAGCAGGGAAGTAGCGATTCTTCTGCCTGGGCTTCGGCACCCGTCTACAGAGAACCAGCTCCGTCATATGGAGCTCCTTCCTCATCATATGGAGCACCCTCTTCAGCTTATGGAGCACCTTCGCCCCAGTATCCATACTCAAGATCGTTCGACGTGAGCAATGAAAATGTGAAGTACAGTCAAGAGCTAGCTTATGCTGCCCAGAAGTAAATAATTGTTGATAGATAGTATTTAAAATTGTTAATTTATTTATTTATTATTTATTTGTGTAAAATATATTTTGTGAATACATAAAATTGGAAGTTTTAGTAACTTTTCCCCAAAAATATCTTTAATTTTATTAAGATCATTAATCATATTTCTATTCTACATTTATTTTAGTTTTATTTTGTTTTGTTTTGTACACTAGGTGTATTTAGAAAAGTTCGACTCTGTTCACTATGAGAAACACAAAAAATAAAAATATACCTAATCGAATATAAAAATTCTACTCATTAAAAATATTAAAAAAATGCATTGAATATATGATTTTTATGTCAATTTAAGAATGTTTTCTTGAAAATATTAATATTTTATTTGAAAAATATGCAATAAATGCCATCTACCGACTAATATCCGACATTGCTCTAATTTAAAATACCGCAAGAGAAGGCGTTGTCCAATTTGCTGTAACTACGGAAGCGTAATGTCGAACAACTAGTTCAATTTGTTTCTACTAGCCGGCACGCATATGCTATATTTGAACGAAATTTAACGTCTATCCACCTGTAAGAATATTCCGTTTAATATTTTAAATTATTGCACTTGATGAAAGCTTTATGAGGTATAAAACATTAGTCCGGGGGCTGACACCAAAATATCGTTGTTCTACAAATACGATGTGATCAAAAGTTTTATGATCAACAACTATGCTTTGGATAATTCTAATTGAAAATTATATTATTTTTTTAACTGTTGGTATATAGGTATATCAAAGAAGGCTTGACCATAATTTTTTGATCATACGGTATACCAATTTAGGACCTATTTAGAAAAAATATTTGACATTACATCAAAACGTATTCGAAAAGAATTCGGAAACAAATTAGGAAATATCGTATATTCAAAAAAAAAGCTTTGTGTACCTCTTGCAATGGTGCTAGATCATTCCACTTGCTAAAGATCTGCCTAATGTGGTGAAAATAGAAAGAATAGAGGCAGCTATAAAGAAGTCAGCTTATAAGTTGTTTTATAAAAAGACAGTGTGTATTTGATGTAAAACTCCTAACTAACAGCCTTGTATATGAATTTTTAAAGTAGCTCTACCTAAGACGTTTATGGATGTAAAGCACCAGATGGCGGGGCGTATTTCACAGTCTTTTACTACAAAAAAATATTTTTTGTTACTCTGAATTTTAAAGCGACCAATAAAAACAGAGAAAATAAAAATCGATAATTTTCGGACCGTGCCAATTGGTTACTAATCGACCAGATACTTTTTGTCTATTAGATATGCTATAAAAGCTGGTAATTATACAATTCGACCATTGTAAATACCCGACAAATTCCGCAAGGCCGACGAGGCCGATGCTTTTCACTGATAAGAAAAATAATGTTTGTTTAGATAATTTTCGAGATATTTTCTCTTTCTGAATGCACATTTTTAAAGTATTTTATATTCTTTTTCTGCTGGATCTATTATACTGGTCGCACGTATCGAAGTTCTGTTTCTTCTAGTTATAAAAAATGTTCTTGTTTCTTTATAGTTGTTGTGGTTGTAGTGTAAAATTAGATTAATTTTATTAAGTTTAATTATAATGTTTAGTGTAGAATACCAGAAATAGTTTAGTAGTGTTTTTATAGTTTATTTATTTTGTACTTAAGTAGTAGGTGAAGGGATAATTTGGTTATTTTTTCTTTTTGTTTGGTTAATTAGTATGTTTATAATTTTTTCAGTGTAAAATACAAGAAGTAGTTGTGTAGTGTTTTTATAAGAGATTATGTATATATTCGTTTATTTTGTAGATGAGTAGTAGGTGAAGGTATTTGGGTATTGTTTCTTTTTGTTTTTCTTCTAATTGTAGTAATTCTATTAAGTATTGTGATAGATACGCTATATATTCCTTCAACTTCGTTGAAAAGTGCGTTATCATATAATTTTGGTTTTCTGGCAGTAGAATATACGAAAAAAAAATCTGATCAAATTTATTTTAAATTAAATTAATCGAGTCTTATTAATCAAATTAATCTAGTCAAATAAAAATAATAGTTAGTTTATTAGTTTTATTTAGTTTAGTTTTAGTCTAAATACTATACAGGATGAGTTTCCTACGATGTTCTCTATTGGTATTTCGGAAACTACTGGAGATAGAGAGTCGGTTAAATGGGAAAAGAATTGTAGTTTTGTGGGGTCATAAACATGCGCCTTTCGGATTTTTCGGAAAAGTTCAAGGCTTACTAGATTTTTCGAAAAACACAAATTTTAGCTATTTTAAAACTTGTCTCTAATTCCATTATAATCTACCGTATGATCGAATAAAAACGGCGTCAACGATGGCTATGAAATGAAGATCGTTGTCATTCTATATGTAAAATTATATGGGAAATATCATCGATCGTCATTTCATAGCCATCGCTGACGCCGTTTTTATTCGATCATATGGTATTTTGGACAAAAAGTTTTCAGATAAAAGTTGTAGATAATCACATACCTAATGAGTTTGTGTTTTCTGTTTTTTTTTCTAAAGCCTGTCATTTTTGACATACGACACAAACATTATGTTTTTTTTTTAAATGGAAATCCTAGTTGGCCATGACATCATAAAAAGCGCCATTCTTTAAGCTTTTCAGCGATATAGGTATAATATGTTTTCTTTCGAAAAATTACAAGTTATAGCAAATTCTTTTCTTTCTTGGCTAATTCCCATACCAATAATACCATGCCAACTAGTTGGCATCAAAAATGTAAAAAGTTTTATGTTTTCAAAAAAAAATATCGTAAAATTCGTAAGCACTCAATTTAGAATAAAATAATCTATGAATGAAATGATTCTTTTATAAACCTGCATTAAATCAAATTAAAATAGGTATGTAACTTTTTTTTTAAATATTAATTAACAACAATTAGCATTATCAAAAATTATAAATAATGTACCAACATATCGAAATAATAATTTATTTGTTAATACGGTTTAGAATTCTTAAAATAACAGGCAAAAATTATCCACAATTTACAATAAAATAAAAGTTTCGTTTAAATTTCTTAATCAGCTGATCATTATTAAAGTTCGCAGAAACCCGGGGCTATATTATTACATTACTCTGAGGAAAATAACGAAAATAATCGATATTTTTGACTCCGCCCCGAAAGGTTCACAATTTGTCCTCCAGTTGGCAGCACATTTTGTCTAGTCGGTTGAACAACTTTAAGAATATATAAACAAGGCTAACAGCTATTAAATTGAAGGATTTGAAGGATATACATATATTTTATACGAATGCCTTTTTTTAAGCTTTATAATTTTATAATGTTTTTTTTTTAATTTTTATTAAAAAACGATAGTCAGTCGGCCGGATAGCCCTGGCAATTACCATTAAACCAAAATATTACTACATCTATATCTCTGACTTCTACTAACTAACAATTTGTTTTGTGTAGTTTGTGGTCTGTTTTTGCTTGAACCTTTTGTTTATGATTCATTATTTATAATAATTTACAGTAATTTTATTAAATTATACGAATATTGTCGTTGATTATTATTTGACTGAAATAAATATGACAGTATCCTCCAATGAAAATATGAGTTATTAACTTTATATTCTAATTCTGAGCTGGCAAATGAGCTAAAGTGTGACCAACGGATCTGTAGCTACGGGGTATCGGCAGGGGAATGCAGTTGTAAACAAAACACGCCCAATTTCATTCATAAAATAGGCATGGGCGTACGGTGTTATATGAAAATAATGTATATCATAAATATAATACTCAGATTAATAATTTTTTTCAAAAAACTTTATGCTGTTTGAATCGTTACTGTTGAGTTAGCAGATAAACACTAAAAGCTTTTATTAAAGCTCTCTTAAATATTTTGAATCATGTTATTATTGTGTTGTTAATATAATAGAAGAAATAATTACAGCTGGGGGTTGGAACCTTTGGTGTTACACAGCAAAATAAAACACTAAATCAGTACAATACACCAAAACACTTTTAATTTTACACTGGACGCATGTTTCGCTAACCATGTCTGCCATCAGCAGATGATCAAGACTGAGTCTTGAGGTATATTTATTTATATATCTGTACTAACTATATTTTTTTTATAATACATAATTTTAGATATAACTATTTCCAGCAAAAAAATCTTGAAAATAGTTAACTTTGGAAGCGCAAACAAAACATAATTTTACTCACCAGTAGATCCAATATTGCCTATTACACCAGATATGGTATCGCTCCGCCAGCAGTTTTTAAAGGTTAGGTCATTGTCTACCCATATGTTTCATCCAAATAGATAATACTTGGCTATATTTTCGAATTTCGCGTATATATTTATATCTCTCTCTGCAATATAATGGGCCGCTCCATTAATATTTATCTGTTATTTTGACATTTACGCCAAAAAAATTCATTTGATTTTAATAATCCCCTAAGCGTTTCCCTGCAAAGGAAAATTCGATTCTTCCTGCATTTTTGCAAAAGCTTTCTAATTGTGGGGACGAGTTTGAATTCGAGATAAAAATCTATTTATCAAATTCCTGACCACTTCAAAAAAGTCGACGAGCTTTTCGACAGCAGTCTCACGGGGTCGTTTCTTTCCAGAGCTTGATATCATTTTATCGGGGTTAGTTTTCAGCCTTTTTTTTTATCTTCTGTGTGAATTTTTTTATAGCCGATACGCTAACTCCGGTATTAAAAAATATCCGCTCAAGTTTACGTTTAAGCGGCAACTAAAGCGGCAACTAAAGCGAACTCTCTGTAGCTTCTTCATCGCAAACCCTATTATAAACACAAGGAAATAAACCAAATGAGATTTCATCCACGTTATTATTAACTTACCTATATAAATTAGCTATTATTTCTCTTGTCTGACTATGTAGCGTCTTACCCTTAACAAATTTATTCATTTTAAAACACAAATATACGATCAAACTTGATATTAATAATTAAAAACTATGAACGAACAACATTATAACAAGATAACAAAATAATAAAACACAACTTAACTATCAAATATACGAAAAATATAGGAATAAAGTTTAAGATAACAGGTATAAAATAATGAAATAAAGTAATAATGATCAAAAAAATTACACCGCCACTGGATATTTCAATAGTATTCAATATTCCTACTCTTTTCAGAAAAGACCGTGAAGTTGTGGATAAAGCAAGCGAATAGGAAAGG